TTTATTTTAAAGTCTATTTTTTCTGCTATGAGTATTGTGACCCCCACTCTCTTTATCATTTCCGTTTGCATGAAGTATTTTTTTCCATCCCCTTACTTTAAATCTATGTGTGTCCTTTGCCCTAAAGTGGGTCTCTTGTAGGCAGCACATTGTAGCCTCTTATTTTTTAATCCAGTATGCCACTCTTTGTCTTTTGATTGAAACATTTAGTCCATTGACATTTAAGGTAATTATTGATAGCTATGTATTGGGTTGGCCCAAAAGTTCATTTGCTTTTTTTCTGTAAGCTGGCTTTAGTATTGCTTAGTTATCTTTAACTTCATTTGAAACAATTTTGTTAGACTCTATTGTGACAGCTATCATATCAGTGTGCATTAAAAAAAAAACATCAAAATTGGTGAATTTTTGTGTAGCTGTTTTAATATTGAAGATGGAAGAAGAAACGTTTTCAGCATATTATGGTTTATCATTTCAAGAAAGGTTAAAAACGCAATTGAAACACAAAATTTGTGAAGTGTATGGAGAAGGTGCTGTGACTTATTGAACATGTCAAAAGTGGTTTGCGAGGTTTCGTGCTGGAGATTTCTTGCTGGACGTTGCTCCACGGTCAGGTAGAGAGATTGAGGTTGATAGCGATCAAATTGAGGTATTCATTGAGAACAATCAGTGTTATACCACGCAGCAGATAGTCGACATAAGCAAAATATCCAAATCGAGCATTGAAAATCATTTGCACCAGTTTGGTAATGTTCATTGCTTTGATGTTTGGGTTCCACGTAAGTTAAGCAAAAAAAAAAACTTCTTGACTGTATTTCCGCATGCAATTCTCTACTTAAACGTAACACAACCGTTCTGTTTTTAAAACAAAATGACAGGCGATGAAAAATGGATACTGCACAATAATGTGGAATGGAAGAGATCGTGGGGTAAGCGAAATGAATCAACCACCACCATCCCCACCAAAGGCGGGTCTTCATCCAAATAGATGATATTATGTATATGGTGGGATTGAAGGGAATCCTCTATTATGAGCTCCTTCCAGAAAACCAAGCGATTAATTCTAACAAGTACTGCTCCCAGTTAGACCAACTGAAAGCAGCACTTGACAAAAAGAGTCCAGAATTAGTCAACAGAAAACACATAACCTTCCATCAGGATAACACAAGACCGCATGTTTCTCTGATGACCAGACAAGAACTGTTACAGCTTGGCTGGGAAGTTCTGATTCATCTGCCCTATTCACCAGACATTGCACCTTCAGATTTCCATTTATTTTGGTCTTTACAAAATTCTCTTCATGGAAAAAATTTCAGTTCCCTGGAAGACTATAAAAGGCATCAGGAACAGTTCTTTACTCAAAAAGATAAAAAATTTTGCAAAGATGGAATTATGAAGTTTCCTGGAAAATGGCAGAAGGTAGTGGAAGAAAATGGTGAATACATTGTTCAATAAAGTTCTGGGTGAAAATGAAAAACGTATCTTACTTTTACGTAAAAACCAAAGGAACTTTTTGGCCAACCCAGTGTTTATTGCCATTTTAAACCTTATTTTCCCATTGATTTTTATTTCTTCTCTGTCCCTTTTTCTTTGTTCTTGTGTGTGTGTGTGTGTGTGTGTGTGTGTGTTCTGATGATTTTCTTTTGTATTGATATTATACTTACGTTCTCTGCTTTTTGGTTTTTGTGAATCTTCTATGTTTTTGATTTGTGATAACCCTGTTTTTCAAGTATGTTAACCCCTTCCTATATCTACTTGCCTTAGACTGATAGTCATATAGGCTCAAGCACATTTTAGGGAGAACAAATTCTACATTTTCTTCCCTGCCCCCCATTTTACAATTTTTTTAAACTAATTAATTATTTATTTTTGGCTGCGTTGGATCTTTGCTGCTGCAGGCAGGCCCTCTCCAGTTGCGGCAAGCAGGGGTCACTCCCTCCCGCGGTGCACGGGCTTCCCATTGCAGTGGCCTCTCCCACTGTGGAGCATGGGCTCCAGGTGCACAGGCCTCAGCAGTTGTGGCACGTGGGCTTAGCAGCTGTGGCTCACAGGCTCCAGAGTGTAGGCTCAGCAGCTGTGGCGCACGGGCCCAGCTGCTCTGCAGCATGTGGGATTCTCCCGGATCAGGGCTCGAACCTGTGCCTCCTGCATTGGCAGGCGGATTCTTAACCACTGCACCACAAGGGAAGCCCCCATTTTACAATTTTGATGTCCTCTTTTACATCTTCATGTTTATCCTTTTGCTGTTCATTGTGGTTATCATCACTTTCACAGAAATTTTTTAATCTTTTTAAATCTGTACTAGCTTATTTAAATGATTTATTTTCCAGTTGTGGTTTTTTCTTTCCTATAGATTCTTCATTTCTGTTTAGGGAAGACCTTTCAATATTTCCTTTAGGATGGGTTTAGTATTGCTGTATTCTTTTAGTTTTTGCTTGTCCGAGAAATCTCTTCTTCTATTCTAAATGATAATCTTGCTGGCTAGAGTATCCTAGGTTACACATTTTTCCCTCTCAGAACTGAATATATTGGGTTGGCCAGTAAGTTCATTTGGGTTTTGCCGTAAGACGGTATGGGGAAACCTGAACGAATATTTTGGCCAACCCAATATCTTGCCACTCCCTTCTGGCCTGCAACGTTTCTGTATAGAAACCAGCTAATAGTCTTATGGGGGTTCCCTTGTAATGAACTCTTGCTGCCTTTAAAATCCTCTCTCTTTAAGTTTTGCTATTTTTGTTATAATATGTCTTGGTGTAGGTCTGTTTTGGATTTATCTTGTTTGGGACCCTCTGTGCTTCCTGTACCTGGATATCTGTTTCCTTCTTTAGGTTTGGAAACTTTTCAGCCATAATTTCTTCAGATACATTTTCAGTCCTCTTTTCTCTTTCTTCCTCTTCTGGAATTCCTAGTGTGCATAGGTTGGCATGCTTTATATTATCCCATAGGTCTTTTATGTTGCTTTCATTTTTTTTTTCATTTGGCTTTCTGTCTGCTGTCTTGATTGGGTGGTTTCCATTATTTTATCTTCCAGTTGACTTGTTCTTCTGCATTATTCTTTCTGCTATTCATTGTCTTTATCTCAACTTTCACGTCTGCAAATGAGTTTTCTAATTTTTCTTGGTTCATCTTTATAGTTTCTAGCTGTTTTTTTAACAGTAATCTGCATTTCTGTCAATAGCCTTTCTTAATTCCTTCAGTATTTCCATTGCCTCTTTTTTTGAAATCGGTGTCTATTAGACTGAAGAGGTCTGCTTCATTGTTTGTTCTTTCAGGGTAATTCTGTTGGTCTTTTAACTGGGAGTGGTTCCTCTGCTGATTCATTTTACTTGTGTTTATCTTACTGTGTGAGTTTAGGAGAAACAGTTACCTGCTTTGGTCTTAGAGGGCTGTTTATGTGGGGGTGTCCCTGTGTAGCTTGTACGTGTTTAATATATTTGGTACGAGGCTGTTTTTAGTATGGATGCCTGTTGCCTCTTTACTCAGTGTGTGCTGGTCATTACCCCTGAGAGGGGCGGGGTGTGCAGATGCCACAGCTGGTGTCTGGTCTGGCAGCGGCTCAGGCACACCCTCGGAGCATGCAGTGGGGGCAGCAGCAGTTTGTGACCACTCCTGGGGTCTGGGAGGGTGGCAGCAGGGGCTCGTGACCACTCCTGGATATTCATTTCCGTTTTTAAAGAAGTTATTGTTTATTCTTTTTCCCAGTTCAGATCCATTGTTACGTATGCTGCAGATTTAACTTTTTAAAAAATCTCTCTTACCATAAGGGTGTTTTTAGTTTAATCTCTCTCAGTGTGTTGAATGAATTTGACTGTTCCTTAGTGGTGTATACAGCAGTTGTTTTCCTTCACCAGCCTTGGAGTGATTTAGTTTTATTTTGGTAACATTTATGTTTTGACCCTATGATCTTGTACTCTTTGTATATTTTTGTAAGCCCAGTGGAGTGTGGGCAAGGTATTGGTAGTTTTATTATAAAGAGCCTCAACTTCATGTTACTAGCAGCACTCTTTAATTACTACTAATGTTCTGCATATCAAATTATGCTGTCATTTTTATTATTTAATGACAGGTAATCCAAACATCTTTTTTGTGGATTTGGAGCATATTACTAACTTTTGGCAGCAGCAACTTATTTTCCTAATTAAATAGATTGGTGTGTGAGTTTCTATTCATGTTTTTTTTATGGACCCTAATTGAGCAGTGACAAGATGTGAGTTGGGTTCATTGGACACGAGGGAGAAAGCTCCAGGATTAAAATTTGACCTTAGTTTACACAAAAACCTGTCCACAAATGTTCCTAGTATCATTATTCATAATAGCCAAAAAGTGGAAACAACCCAGATGTCTGTCAACTGTTGAATGAATAAACGAAGTGTGGTGTATGCATTCAGTTGAATAATTTGGCCATAAATAGGAAAGACTGACACATGCTACAACCTGGATGAACCTTGGCAACATTATAAGTGAAAAAGCCAGTCACAAAAAAGGCCACCTGTTGTGTGATTCCATTTATATCTACTGTCTAAAGCAACCAAATCCCAAGAGAAAGAAAGTAGATTGATGAATGGTTGTGAGGGGCTGGGGGTGGGTGGATGAGAAGGGACTGCTCACGGGTATGAGTTTTCTTTTTGATGATGAAGGTGCTCTAAAATTAATAGCAGTTTGGGCTGCACAGCTGTGCATTTACTAAAAACCAGTTAATTGTACACTTTCAAAGGGTGAATTTTATGGCATGTAAGTTATACCTCAATAAAGCTGTTACGAAAAATTGGTCTCAGATAATGAGTGTGAGAGGATAACAGAGGAAACTAAACTGACTGAGGAACTCTTCAGTCTTCTTTGAGAGTGGAAGAAGGACAGTATGATTTGCAGGGAAGAGAAAGATTAACCTGAGTTTGCTTCTTTAGAATTGAATATTGGGCAGTCATATGTTTGAGTTGAATTTTTGTTACACAGAGTGATGTTCTTTATATGGATTGTTTTTGATACACAATTTTTAAAAATAGGTCAGTCTTACGAAATTCGCATGCTGGATAATCGGAAAATGGGAGATGTGCCTGAGATCACTGGAAAACTGGTAAAGGTAAGGACCATCTGTTTAAATTCCTAAAAGATAGTGCAGTGACTCAAAAAAGTAGCAGTTTTACTGCAAGAGTTTTGTTTTTTGTTGCAGGAGTTATTAAAAAATTATTTAATTTCACTTTAAGAAAGTAATGGCTGTATTAAAACTCTTTTGAGCTATATTTTGTTTACTCCTCTGTAAAATAGGAATTATAGTAATTACTGAGTGAAGTAAATGTGAAGGCCCTCTGGAAACAAGGCACCAGAGAAAAGTTAGTTGCAGCTAAAGGAGGGAGAAAAACCCACTGCCACAACAAAAACTTTGATTCTCTTTAAAAGTAGAAGATAGTGTGGAAACTTTGTTTCTCTTTAAAAGTAGAAGGTAGTGTGGGGGGAAAATATAAGTGTTACTCTGAAACTTTTATTTCACCTCTTAAAATTTCTCTAAGTAAAATTTGATCTCTTCACGCTACTGGTGTATCTGAATGAAGAGTCAGTTATTCCAGGCCTAGGAGGCGCAGCCAACCCATTCCTTTTAGGATGTGCCTTCAGACCCATCCCCGGCCCCTGCAGTGTCATGCAAGGTGGGTCCTTCTAGCCTCTACCTGTCACGTGCCACGCAGTATCATAAACTCCAGAGCATTACAGGGCAAGGGTTACTGAAGAAGCTTAATTGGGAAACGGGAAAACTTCATTGTGGCCAACTGTTAGCAAGGGAGAAGCAGGATGAGTTCTCTTGGTCCTTCCATCTTCCTACAGAGAGGCCTGTTGGGGCCCGAGTGCTGCTGGGCCCTCACTGTGGAGAGGCATTCCATTGGAAAGACCCATCCCTTTTCAGACTGGCGAGCATGGGGAAAGCAGCCTGTGGGGGGAGTGGACAGCAGTACTAATGCTAACAAATTAGGCTTGTCCAGAAAGCAGCTGCTCAGCACTGGAGACCTGAGAGTCTTTGGAGTTCTCTTCCCACTCCTGGGAGCAGGAAGCTCCCAATCCTGTGAGAGGTTCTAGTCCCCAGTGGATCATTGTCTTGCCAACCTGGAGTAAGCTACCAGGTTTCTTCTGACTCCCGGGGCTCCCAACATTCTCAGAACAGAAGGAGAGAGGTTATTTACCCATTCTCACGTGCGCCATCTGAACATGGAGTCTGTCGTGTCTGTGTTCCATCAGTGGGTTTGATCATTTCCCTAAAGGGTGGGTCAGATGGCCTTATTTTTTTTATTCCCTCCTATTGACTTTCTCACCTGTATTGAACACTAATTAGATTCACCCTTTTAAAAAGGCATCAGCACTGTTCCCAGTGAGCAAGCCCTATTGAATTGGTTATGCTCTGCTGGACTCTAGTGACAAATAGCTATGGTTTGGTCAAGGAGCAACAGCTCTCATTTTTCAGAGTCTAGGAGGCTTAGCAGTGTTGAAGATTCTCTCAGCATGTCTTGCTCCCAGCTCATCATTCATTGTCAGACAAGTATTGGGCACCCCGGCAAAACTTTGCCAAATTGTACCACACCTGGTTAAAATTCAGCCTAGTAATATATTGTTTAAGGGAAGATGTGGGTGAACTCTTTTGTCATTGTGAAAGTCACAGGGTTACTTTTTTAAGAAGTCTTAGTTTCATCTTCCACTTGATACGCCACATGTCTGATTTTTGGTGGATTTTTGGTGCCAGAATACATCCAGTTACATCCTGAGAGCTTGCCTGGGATTCAGAGTTACAGTCTGCTACTGCCAGAGACTACAGGATAACTTTCTTAAAGACCACATGCTTCTTCATCTAGAGTTTAGTTTCCTGGCCCCATGATCTTTGACTCTGCTATTGGGGGGGTGGTCTTCGGGATCAAATGCTGCTGATCAGAGGTGACCTGCTTAAAATATTCAGTGAAGTGCTTTCTCTGATTGTTCTCTTTCTGTCTTATTGTTAGGGCCCCTTTATCTGTGGCTGATTCTCTAGGTGTATTGTCTCCTTTTAGTCAGAACTTCCAGATAACAGCTTTTCCCCTTCCAGTTTTATATAAGAGGTTTTCTTTTATATCTTGCCATTTCTTAACTATGGTCCTCCATGTTCCTTATTTTACTGTCTTATGTCTTAGTCTGACCTAGAATGGGGTTTAGTAAAGCACTTAAAACTAATACCTGTATTCTCGTACTATTTTCATCTGAATTCGTGGATTTGATCTGGTTCTTACTAAATATGGAAGAATCAAAATCATGACATTTTCTGTGCTGCACTTCTGAGAGATCAACCTGCTGGTGAATGTGAACCAGGAGCCACCACTGGCTGGCTCAAGCACCATCACTCTGTGAGGGCTTTGCTGCCAGCAGGCACTTGTGTGAAGTGGGTGCTGCTGGGGAATTGGGTGTGGGTCAGAGTGGCAACTGTGCCTTTATAGACGTCCACAGAGGTCCTAATGACCGACTTGGCCTCTTTTTAAACTATTTCAAATTACAGCGTTTCTACTTTTAAATGGTTCCCTTCAAAATATTTATCAGCTATGTTTTGGACAGCATTTTGGGGGTGCGGAAGGCAGGGGCACTAAAGATAGTATTGATATGTATCGCTAACAAGTTATTTCCTGTTCAAACCAGCAGAGCGTCTACTGGGAATACGATTATCTTACTGCATCATAGTCTGAGAAACAGTTATTTATAAACGTGTCAGAAACACTAATTAGTGCAAATCTGGTATCTGAATCCATTTTGATGACCTGTTATCCTGTTCTTGGAATGGCACAGCAGCTGGCAGCCCAAACCTGTGGGAGGTGAGGGTGGGATGGGTGGAGAGCAGAGAATGGCCTAGAGTTTGTGGAGTAGAGTTAAAGCCTTCCCTAGGAATGAACCTGAGTGTTTGGATGAAGTTTACCTGTGTTTTATCTGTTTTGTTTTGTTTTTCCCTTGCTTACCTCAGATACTCTCACTTGCAGGTTAAATAGTTGAGGATGAATTTTGCATATAGGTTCTCTTTTTGGGGTGGTGGGCAGATTTACCCCCCGCCCTTGACTTTTTTTCCTGGGGGGGCGGGGCTGTGCCTCACAGCACTCGGGGATCTTAGTTCCCCGACCAGGGATTGAACCCCAGGGTCCCCTGCAGTGGAAGCACAAAACCCTAATCACTTGGGCACCAGGGGATTCCCTGATGTTTTCTTTATAGAAATATAATTCTTACTAATTTTTTATGGACATGGACCTTAATTTTTTTTTTTTTTTTTTGGTACGAGGGCCTCTCACTGTTGTGGCCTTTCTCGTTGCGGAGCACAGGCTCCAGACGCGCAGGCTCAGCGGCCATGGCTCAGGGGCCTAGCCGCTCCGTGGCATGTGGGATCTTCCCGGACCGGGGCACGAACCCATGCCCCCGGCATCGGCAGGTGGACTCTCAACCACTGTGCCACCAGGGAAGCCCCAGAATTTGTTTTTGTATGCTTTTCTATTATAGGCTAATGCATAAGAAGTGAAAACACTTGTGCTTTTTAGCTGGAACAATTTTAAAGTGCTCATTTCCCCTACTTATTCCATAGAGCATCATAAGAGTTGTATTCCATGACAGACGGCTCCAATATACAGAGCATCAGCAACTTGAAGGTTGGAAGTGGAATCGCCCAGGAGACAGACTCCTCGATTTAGGTACAAGTGGCCATCAGAAGACCACGGAGAGATGAGGCAGTTGTTTAGCTATACCTGTTAATACGTTAGCAGTCACACCATGGGTGATTGCGTAGAGAGTTTTAGTCACCTGTGTGACTTGAGTTGTTTTATGTATGTATGTATTTTAACATCTTTATTGGAGTATAATTGCTTTACAGTGTTGTGTTAGTTTCTGCTGTATAACAGAGTGAATCAGCTGTATGCATACGTATATCCCCATATGCGTTCCCTCTTGCATCTCCCTCCCACCCTCCTTATTCCACCCCTCTAGGTGGTCACAAAGCACCGAGCTGATCTCCCTGTGCCATGCAGCTGCTTCCCACTAGCTATCTGTTTTACATTTGGTAGTGTATACATGTCCATGCCACTCTCTCACTTTGTCCCAGCTTACCCTTCCCCCTCCCTGTGTCCTCAAGTCCTTTCTCTACGTCTGTGTCTTTATTCCTGTCCTTCCCCTAGGTTCATCAGAACCATTTTTTTTTTAGATTCCATATATATGTGTTAGCCTACAGTATTTGTTTTTCTCTTTCTGACTTCACTCTGTATGACAGACTCTAGGTCCATCCCTCTCACTACAAATGACTCAATTTCATTTCTTTTTATGGCTGAGTAATATTCCATTGTATGTATGTGCCACATCTTCTTTATCCATTCATCTGTTGATGGACACTTAGGTTGCTTCCATGTCCCGGCTATTGTAAATAGAGCTGCAGTGAACATTGTGGCACATGACTCTTTTTCAATTATCGTTTTCTCAGGATATATGCCCAGTAGTGGGATTGCTGGCTCGTATGGTAGTTCTAATTTTAGTTTTTTAAGGAACCTCCATACTATTTGAGTTGTTTTATAGTTAAAAATGAAGTTGTTTTTGGTGCTTAGCGAAACTGAGCCAGGAATTTTATGAGTTTTAAACCATTTATTTCATTTTTGATTGGCACCATCCATCATATTCTTAATAAAATGAAATAGAAATCATGGTGGGAGAAAGTATGATACACATTAGGTGGGGTTTTATGTTGAAGTGTTTGACCATGGAGAACATTGAAGGGAAAAGTTCAGCAGGTATAATAATTTCACTGGAACAGAATCATAGTAGATTATTGTAACCTAATCATTCATAGTTTTGTTTCTGTGTCACTTCTTTTTAAAATACAGATATTCCAATGTCTGTGGGAATAATTGACACAAAGACAAATCCAAGCCAGTTAAATGCAGTTGAATTTCTGTGGGATCCTGCAAAACGCACATCTGCTTTCATTCAGGTTTGGATTCTTACATTAGAGTTATACTAGCATCGTCATTCAGGAGGCTGTGGGTGAGCTTGAATTCTTGATACGTGATATCATTTTCTTTAAATGCTTATTTGTAAACTATCTTGTAATGTTTTTTATACACACACAACACACTCTGTTAAGTTAGAGTTAATCTACTAAATTCATCATTTATAGACTAACCTGTAAAGACAATCTTAATATGTAAAGCATTATTTAAATATCACTTTTACCACTGGTAGTAACAATGATCAAAACTTCCATTCTTCTTCGGACGCATTTCTCTTGAACAAAACCTGCTGTTTTAAAGGATATGATTGAAAAAAGTGTAGTTTTAAGATTCTGTCTAGCTTTATTTAAAAATATTTTAATACTGACATTTTCAATCCCCCACAAAAGTGAGAGGATAATAATGAATCCTCTTGTGCCCATCTCCTGGCTTCGACAGTTATTAGTAGTTTCCCCTTTTTGGTTATTGGTGGAATACTGTAAAGCAACGCCCAGGCATTTCATTTCACCCATGAATACTCAGTTTGTGTCTCCTAAGACAGGGGTCCCCAACCCCTGGGCCACAGACTGTTAGTGTCCATGGCCTGTTAGGAACCGGGCTGCACAGCAGGAGGTGAGCGGTAGGCTAGCAAGCGAAGTTTCATCTGTATTTACAGCCACTCCCCGTCACCCACATTACCACCTGAGCTCCGCCTCCTGTCAGATCAGTGGCGGCATTAGATTCTCAAAGGATCATGAACCCTACTGTGAACTGTGCATGCAAGGGATGTGAACCGTACTGTGAACTGCGCATGCAAGGGATCTAGGTTACATGCTCCTTATGAGAATCTAATGCCTGATGACCTGAGGTGGAGCTGAGGCTGTGATGCTAGCGCTGGGGAGCGGCTGCAAATACAGATTATCATTAGCAGAGAGGTTTGACTGCACAGAGACCACAATAAATCAATTGCTTGCAGACTCATATCAAAACCCTCTCAGTGAGTGGCAAGTGAAAACAAGCTCAGGGCTCCCATTCATTTTGCATTATGCTGAGTTGTATAATTATTTCATTATATATTACAATGTAATAACAGTAGAAATAAAGTGCACAGTAAATGTACTGTGCTCGAATCATCCCAAAACCATCCCCACCCCACCCCCAGTCTATGGAAAAATTGTCTTCCATGAAACCGGTCCCTGGGGCCAAAAAGGTTGGGGGCTGCTGTCCTAAGAGATTAGTTTTTGAAAAACAGATACGGTATTATTATATGTAAAATAAAATCAACAGTAATTCTAATAGTATGTTCAAATTTGTAAATGGTGAAATTAAAACTACTGAGTAGGTAATCTTTATATAGAAAAGGAAAATCAGTTAATTGCTGACTGGCCGAAGTAGGCTATGATTTGTGTGAACTATAGAGAATTTAGTATTTTGCATTTTCGTGGTCTTCCAGGTCGTATCACCCATCAGCTAATAATCAGTAGGGCCATGGTTCATATTAGTTGAATATTTTCTCATATTGTTCATCTGACAGGGTGACTGGTTATGTGGTGAATGAGAGCAATGGAATAGCTGGCCTTACCTCTCAGGTTGTGTACAGTCTTGGTGCAGAAATCAGTTTTAACCTTGAGTCCTTAGAAGAGGGGGTGTGTAGCAGTCGGAAATTACCAAGGTCTTGTTAATGACACTGTGCCATGCCCTGGAGCTGTCACCATGGTGGTGTTGCAAGAGTGGGCAGAAGTGGTGGGAAAATGAGTACTGCCCTCAGGATCCTCTGTGAACTATGAAGCGTTGACAGGAGAGTTTACGTGGATGCAGGTGGAGTGAGGAGTGGGCTTGGTGGACTGTGGAAGCTCCCCAGGCAAAGGATCACGAGTTGATGACTATAGGAACAGCAGTGAGGTGACTAGCTGGCTGGAGTTGGGGTGATGGCAGTAGAGGGCAAACAGCAGGGGCTCTGAGTAACGAGGTGATGGTTGCTGTGGATTGAGCCCCACGCAAGGCTGAGGACTGTGGGTCCAGTCTGGGGTCGGGGTAGGGGAAAGACACAGGAAGCTACTGTACTGATGCGCTCATCACTGGAGCAAGTCCTGCCTTCAAGGAGGGCACTGGAATGGGGCAGAGCCCATTCCCACAAAGTTCAGGAGGGCTCAGCTGGATTTGTGAAAGGAAAGTCATACATGTTTAAAACAGTTAGAAATTCACGACAGACACCTGAGTAATATGTGGGAGTTCCTTTTAAAGGATCTTGAATTCATACCTGTGGCCCAACATCTGAAAGGGAGCAAAGTAGAAGGGTAATCAGTGGACAAGACTTTGAATCCATTTCAGCCTGACTCATTTTCTAGGTACACTGCATCAGCACAGAATTTACTCCCCGGAAGCATGGAGGTGAAAAGGGAGTGCCTTTTAGGATCCAGGTTGACACCTTTAAGCAGAATGAAAATGGAGAATACACAGATCATCTACACTCAGCTAGCTGCCAAATCAAAGTTTTTAAGGTAAGAGATGGAAACTAGGCTTTGAGGAAGTGAGGCCCGGTGTTGCTGGTAAAGGTGTTTGTCTGAAGCCTGATAGATGAAAAAGTCTACTTTGTTTTTAAGCCGAAAGGTGCAGATAGGAAACAAAAAACTGATCGAGAGAAGATGGAGAAGAGAACCGCTCATGAGAAGGAGAAGTACCAGCCGTCCTATGACACCACGGTCCTCACAGAGGTAATGCGGGCACCATTCCGGTTCTGAGGAGAAGCCGAGCTGTGCACTCTGGCACCACCTCTGAGGATGAGTTTGGCTGCAAAGGGTCTGGGAAGATTGGGTGGTAGATTGACATAATGTTCTTGGTGAAATTTGTGGGGAAAATATTCTCTTTAAATTTGGGGATTTTAATAGATTCGTTTCCTGGGTGGGATCATGGACGAAGATGCTGAAATCCCAATCAGGTCTCAGAAACAGACCTTAAAATCCTTGGAGTTGATAGAAATTATGTTGGGGCCCAGAATGTCCGATGTTTGTCACTGCTGGGGTTTTGCATCTTCCTTACCTTTGAATCCTGCTAGTCATACGTTTGTTTAATTGGACGGCAGAGGCATAAACAGGGTATTAGATCTTTCTTTGTATAATGAAAAGACATTGATCCCAATCTTTGGTGTTTGTCCAGATGAGGCTTGAGCCTATAATTGAAGATGCAGTTGAACATGAGCAGAAAAAGTCCAGCAAGCGGACTTTGCCAGCAGACTACGGTGATTCTCTGGCAAAGCGAGGCAGTGTAAGGGCTTCTGCTTCTCTTTTCATTGTGCAAGAAACCTTGTGCAGTGTTAGATATAGGACCAACTTCCACTGAAAAGTAAAGCCAAATTTGTTTTTGATGTCCTTGTCTTGATTTAATTTGCTTTTGTTTAGACTTCCTGCTTTCCGTTTGTTCCTCACTGAGGAAAATTTCCTAAATCTAACACTTTCAAACAAAGTTGACCATATTGGGTGGTTTTGGAGGGAAAACAAATGACACTCAAAAATGTGTTCCCTCCCTGTCTCCTTCCTTTCCTCCCTCCCTCTCTCTCCTTTGCACATACACTTCCTTTACGAGCACTGAAATTAATTGAAAATACTTTTAGTAAAATAGTTATTTTTGTGTAATTAAAAAAGGTTTTTGCTTTCTCGTGTGTGTAACTGATAAGAAAGTGTCACAGATATTTGGAGAAATGATGGCAGCAAGCTTGACGTTAACATACGCAGTACTTTGTGTCCCATTTCCCTGCATGTAGCGTAAGAATGTGTCTGCTTTTAAAAGCCTGATTGGCAGCACTGGTAGAAAAACAATCCTTGACTGCACTAGTGTTTCCTCTTGGCACCTGCATTGTGACCTTATGCTTCAGGCCAGCATAGGACACCTTGCTACACTCAGCCCTGGTTCCCCACTGTAGTCCAGGGGGGTTTTGGTTGAATATGAACTTTGCCAGCTTATTAAGTAGAGCAGATCTTTATTTTATAACACAGTTCTTCATCAAACAGTTGACAAAGGGTTATCTTGTTATATAAACTTAGATCAGCTATATACCGGCAGTAAATGTAAACAGAGAACATTAAATAATTTTTTAAAATAACTTATCATACATATTAATAGTTACTGTTTCATCATTGCAGTGTTTGTACTATCAAGGTGCCAGAAATGGAGTTTTCACTCTTACACATGTATCTGTAATTATCTGTAGACTATGAAAGCCACAGGCATTATCACAGGAACATTATTTCCAAATTAAAGCATTGAGTGAAAATATTTTAAATACTTCTATATGCATTTAAATAATATATGCAAGAAAACTGAAAATGTCCTCTCTGAGGGGCAGGGGAGCACACCATGTTGCATTTTCTTTAAGTGGGCTTTTTTGATTCAAATCAAAAGTTGTATGGAACAACTGTATACTCCTTCCCCAAAAAGCCCGCCCCTCCAGTTTTATGTTTTTATTCTCCTAATTTCCCAGCTGAAGACACAAATGGTTCTTAGTAAACTTTTTTGGGGAGACACTGGTAATTCAAATCACTTTTCCCCTTTTGTTATAAACTAATTAAAAGGAATGGTTCTGATAATTTGTAAATTAAAGAAATCTGTTATAGCCTAGAGCTCATCCGAAGATGCAAGTCTAAAGCATGCAAAACGTCAGCAGTTCACTGGCCTGGGATTTCACATCTTCCAAGTGTGCATTGCTTGCTTCCCCAGGGCTGCATTTGGTTTGGTTAAGATACTTCTAGGGGTGGTTAGAGGTCTTCTTGGAAACCTGTTCATTAAAAGCAAGGTACAGATGAATCCCTTAAAAAAGAAAATCCGTAGCATTTTATATATTTCTTCAAGCACCTACAAAAGAAGGCCAGCATTTCTTACAGTTCTCTGATAGTTACAATTGGCTTTCAATTGAAAGGGTATCCAGACTTACCTGTCAGAGCTACATGGCGCTGTGTGAGATGGTCCTGCACTGAATAGCGGCAGCACTGTAGGTTCCCAAGAGCCACAGCACAACCAAACCCTTAGTGTCTCTGTTGGTCTTTGCATCTGAGCTGTATTTCATTGGCTCAAATCTGGGTTGCCAGTGTCTACAGTCTGCAGTGAGTCCTCGTTTTCTAATCTGCCTGGGGAGGGACTTTGTTCATAGTGCACCAAAGCTGCGACTCTACAAGTCCAGGCCAGACATCGCTGGAGCCTTGATGAATCAGTACCATTGCTTACTTTTAAAGACAGGGAAGAATGACAAGGTAGAAGAAACACTGAAAATATTCCTTGGTATGCCTGTACTCTCCTGGGTCAAGACTGTAAGAGAAACTTACAAAAAAAGCAGGTGGGAGAGTCTTGGTGTTTCATCCAGCCTGGCCATTGAAGAACTTGGAATCCATCATTTCTAAAAGTAGAGGCCTCCTAACAGGACCAGTTTTCATTGAATGCTAGTTTTCCTGTGTTCTGTGAATTGAGTCTCCTATTTATTGGGCAAGTTTTAGATGTCAAACAGCCCTGCTTTTCTACTGCTAGAAGAATCTAGGTGTGTAAAAGTGAAATAGGTATGTTTATGGAGTTTCAGTGAATTTGGTGTCTTTGCTGTATCACCTGCCATGCTCACTTGGAGCTTTTGATGGCTTTATTTCCTCAAACAGTTGGCAATAATTACCAAAGCAGATCTGGGGAGACTTGATGATATTGAAAGGTCTATACGGTTTTGATGTGCGTGTTATGCCGTGTTGTAATATTTTGTATCTGGGGAGAATGGTGTAGCGGGAAGATCTTCCAAGTAGTAGAGGTGACCATGAGCATGTGACACCCGCAAGTTAGGAGACCTGCCAGGTGGCCCACAGCGTCTTGGGTTCCTCAAACTGTATAAGCTGGGGAGGTACTACTTTGTAAACTGGAAAGAAAAACAAAAGACCCTAGTTTAAAAAGAATGGGCATTGTGTAAAAAGTCATTTATAGTGAAATTGGTACAACATGCAGAGAGGGTTTAGCAATGCATTCCAGCCAAATTAGATTTCTTTTTTGAAAGTTGATAATAGTTGAAACATTAAGTCTGCAGTCATTTTCCCCATTTCTGAGGGGATACCTAATGGGTAGTTGTAAAGAATGTTGAGATTATGGGATTTCTGTTTTCTTTGTACCCATGCTTTTTTTATTATTATTTATTTTTGGTCGCATCAGGTCTTTGTTGCTGCGCATGTGCTTTCTCTGGTTGCAGCGAGTGGGGGCTACTCTTCGTTGCGGTGTGGGCTTATCATTGCGGTGGCTTCTCTTGTTGTGGTGCGCGGGCCTCAGTAGTTGTGGCTCGTGGGCTCAGCAGCCGTGGCTTGTGGGCTGTAGAGCGCAGGCTCAGTAGTTGTGGCACACGGGCTTAGTTGCTCCGTGGCATCTTCCCGGGCCAGGGCTCGAACCCATGTCCCCTGCATTGGCAGGCGGGGGGTTAACCACTGCGCCACCAGGGGAGCCCCATAAGTCTTTTTTTAAATGCATGCTGATGTGACACCCGTCACATTCCAATCCAAGATAATGGTATATCTCTCCATTTATTTTTTTATTTTATTTTTTCCCCCCGGTATGCAGGCCTCTCACTGTTGTGGCCTCTCCTGTTGCGGAACACAGGCTCTGGACGCGCAGGCTCAGCGGCCATGGCTCACCCTCCCACCCGCTCCGCGGCATGTGGGATCTTCCCGGATCGGGGCACGAACCCTTGTCCCCTGCATCGGCAGGCGGACTCTCAACCACTGCGCCACCAGGGAAGCCCTGTACCCATGCTTTTGATGGTGTCAGACACGCTGTTTGAAGCTCCTGTAACCATTGGGGAGACTTGGTTTCTGAGCTCAGAGTCCTTCACACTAGTGGTCTTGACTTCACTCAAAAGAATTTTGAAAAAGAGTATACTCCCTTGCACATTTTTAGGTTGACATCTGAAAGTTTTCATCATAAATTTAAATAGTTCCAAAGGATTTTAAAAGGGGGGGGGGAATATATGTATACATATAGCTGATTCACTTTGCTGTACAGTAGAAACTAACACAACATTGTAAAGCAACTGTACTGCAATAATTTTTTTTTTTAAATAGCTGCAAAGGAAACAATTTTCTGACATACTTGAATATCTGTATTTACAACTTAAGGTGAAGCCATCACTTTAGTTAAGTCTGAAATTTTACTCTGCTCTTCCTTCTTCATCTCATGTTTTCTCCTTCACTCCCCTTAAATAATATTGTCCAAATAGGACATACTTTCATGCCTGGAAGTCCTTTAATGGTCACCTTAATTACTTTTTTACAACAAACAATATGACTTGAAATTTAATTTTTAAAATTTCCTGTGACCATGTAAGGCTTAAGTCAGTTGAGGAATTTAAAACATATTATTTGTACCAGTTTATCAAAACAACAAATCATACAAATTTTGATGAATAATTTTTAACTATAAAAATAGAAATGTTATTGGAAATGCATTTTGAATGATGAGACAGGGTAGAACATATTTAAATTCTAGATTTTTTATAGGTAAGAGAAACTTTGTTTAGATAAATTTATTTTTCTTTCCGCAGTGTCATTCAGGTCTTGGAACTCCTCCTGAGATACCTGCCAGAAATTCCAATGATCTCTCTTTGTATGATCTAATAAATTATTTCAGTGTCTGTCAGCTGACAAGATGTCCTCCTGAATTATTCTGAAAGCAAAGAATTGAAAACCCCCTGACGTAGAGAAGAATTTTAGAGTCGTGGACTTTCTTAGTGTCTACCCTGATTGCTTTGAATGGTCCTTAACTTGGTTTTTGGCAGAGCCTTACACCCCACAGCCATGGTGAGACAGGATGCCGTCTGTGTGTGAAATGGGAGGAGTGTGCTTATGAAAGGGGACCTTTGAAACCCAGGGCGTTCTCAGTCTTAGAAAGAATACCATGGAGTGAGATGAGTTCCCTCCATCCTCAGCACTTGAGGCCACCCTGGCCTATGCAGCATGTTTTGACTTCAGCTTTTTCAGTATTCCTAATTGGAATAGTTAATGTGTCTTTGTATCTTGGCTCTATTTTTGGTCAGAATTGTGCCAAGGGCTGAAAAATATTTAAGTCCACCCTGCTCCTTCTAGAAAGTACAAACAATAAACGTAGGTAGGTAGGTAGATGGCTACAGGCAGTACCATCCGCAGTTGATGTATTTTGATGTTGGGCCTGTCTCATCTTACTTGGGGATGATCATGAACCTTAGAGAGATCGGGGAAGTACATGGGTACCGGTGAGGCTGCTCCTTGGGGAAGAGGGCGAAAAGAGCACTAGGTGGGACAGATCCACTGTCCTTGTCACCACGCGATGTCAGATGTTGCTTCTGAATCCTTTCTTGCCTCTGCTGTTCTTTAAACCTCGATAGGTACCTACTGGGGAATGGATGAAGAGGGAGGTGAAAGTTCTTGAAAGCACATTGTACTTAAGCACACATTTAAAACACCTTTAGAAATGTTTGCTGCTGTCGTCACCTCAGGTCCTCTCTGAGAGTAATCAGTGTCTAGACATGCACAGCAGGTAACATTTTCCCTGCCACACACCAGTCAGTTTGATGCGTTTCTGTGAGGTTGCTTGATGAATGTTAGGTGTCTTGTGTTTCACGATCTTGCATTTGGCCAGACTAGAGAGTGAATTACAAGGCTATTTCTCCCATGTACTTTAGAAGCGAACTGTTAATTTATTTCTGTTTCTGTCCGCAGTGCTCTCCGTGGCCCGACACCCCCACCGCCTATGTGAATAGCAGCCCTTCCACGGCGCCCACCTTCACGGCCCCGCAGCAGAGCGCTTGCAGCGTCCCGGACAGGTAGCCGGTGTGCGTGACGAGTGCCCGCGCTCCTTTATGTCCCTTCCTGTCAAGTTACGCAGCCTCTTTGTGTGTGTATCTGGGGTATGTGGTAATTAGAAATAGCCTGCTGCAGGGCAAAACTGTCTTTTCTTCACCTTCCCGCCTTTTTGCTCCTAGCCCCCTTGTGCCTCACAGACTCACAACTGTGGAAATTATAGAAAAGGTGCATTTTCAAGATATATTCTTTGTGAGATAAAATCAGCATTAATGGGCTTCATGGATAGAGAAAAGGACAGTGAGTTATTAAGGTGAAACTGTGACTTGAATATGTTACAATTGAGTTTATGATAAAGTACACTTCAATGCTCACCATATCGAACAAAGATTATTTTCTACCCTATTTCTTCTCCCTCCCAAAGACACTAATTTTTTTTTTTTTAATTAAGTCTTTAAAACTTAAAGGAAGGACTTTCCATTTTAAAGACTTGCTCTGGTTTTAGAAATGGGAATGGTGGGCTCTGTTCATCCTATTTTCTGGCCTTGACTGTTAGCTGCTGGTCAGCAGTGCCCCGAGGAGATTGTCCTTCCTGGGGCTTTGCTCAGGATCTCCTGCTGAGTAGTCAGATCAGAAGGTCCCCGCTGTTATGACATTTCTTGCTGGGAAGTAAAATTATGAAAGTTAAGACCATAAAGGAGGGAATTCCCTGGTGGTCCAGTGGTTAGGACTCAGCGCTTTCACTGCCGTGGCCCAGTTCAGTCCCTGGTCGGGGAACTAAGATCCCGCAAGCCACGGGGTGCGGGGAAAAGAAAGAAAAAAAAAGGAAAGGGTTCTCATTTTTATACTCTGGTCACACCAGCTCGGGCTGCTATAACAAACACCAGGGATTGAGTGGCTTATAAACAATAGAAATTCATTTCTCGCAGCCTGGGGGCTGGGTGTCCAGGGGCTGGATGCTGGCCGGAACGGGTTCTGGTGAGGACTCTCTCCAGGTGCAGGCTACCGGCCTGTGTGCTCACCCAGCGGAGAGCAGAGGGGAGGAGGCAGACTCTTCTTACGACTCTTAACGAAGTCACTGATCCCATTCCTGGGGCTCCGTCCTCACAGCTTCTTCTAATGCTCATTACTTCCCAAAGGCTCCACCTCCTAATACTGTCCAGCACGCTGCGGGTAAGGTTTCCACCTGTGGTTTTTGAGGGGACACAAACATTCTGTCTGTAGCAGGGTCTGGTGAGAAAACAAAGAAGAACATGCCTTTTCCCTGAGGCGATGGATAGACCAAGAGGCAGCTTGTTTCCATGTAGGTTATTGTGCTTCAGGGTAGGGGGACACTCCTGGACTCTGGGACCAGCATGTTACCATGCAGGGGACTGAATAATCCTAGAAAATGACAACAGTTTCAGAGAGGAGCTGTGAATTCGTGTACACACTGGCTCACCAGATATTTCCCGAGAGCCCACGGTGCCCAGCACTGTTCCGGGTACTGTGATGTGAGAGAAAGCCCTGTCTGAAAGAGCTCAAGTTCTAGTGGGCAGAGAAGGACAGTAAACAATCAACATGGTAAACCTAAGTAACTGGGGTACAGGTGCTAAGAAGGGACCAGAAAGGTGGATGCACTCCCTGAGCAGCTGTTCTCATTTTCCCCTGGAAACACAGGGTTAGTGGCACAAGTTTGTTTCTTTTGTTCTCTTGAATTTCACCCTGTTTAATCATGGATAAATATATTCATTAAAGGGATATTATTTTTATTTTGGCTTAGGATTATTATATCATTTCTTGTAGCTCATAATTAAAGTAGATTTTTTTGCAGTTATTTTCAACCATTTGATTCTCATACTTTTTTCCTAACTAAAATGAATGAGTAACTGTCATTTTCCTGGCACCCCTGGAAATCATTGGAGCCCTTTTGTTTCATGAAACCTGACTTTTTTACTAGAACAGATGTAGGAGGAGAAGGCACAAATTAAACCGTCCTCAGTGTATTAACTTTTTTTTTTTTTTTTTTGGTCACACTGCGCAGCTTGTGAGGGATCTCAGTTCCACAACCAGGGGTTGAACCTGGGCCATGTCAATGAAAGCGCCAAGTCCTAACCACTGGAACGCCAGGGAATTCCCTTCTGTGTCTTAATCTTATCAACATATTGACTCCTTGACCAATTGTGCACTCTTTTTGCATAGTTACATTGCTCTGTCCCACAGTATTATTTTAAATTCACCTAGTTTAATAGCCTTTAACGTCTTAAAATATATATATCATAATAATCATTCTTTTCTTCCTTCCCCCCTTCCTTCTCCCCAGCAATTCTTCTTCCCCAAATCATCAAGGAGATGGAGTTTCACAGGCTTCTAGTGAAGTAAGTATCTTTACCCTAAACTATCATGCTTTCAGGGTCCTGCATTTTGAAGCCTCTGACAGGGGTTTGAGTCATTGTTTGGGTCACTGAATAATCACACCTGTGCTCTTCGTGGGTGTTTTAAACTTTAAACCTGGAGGATTTCTGTGTTTTGTTTAAATGTTCTTTATAACATGCCAGTGACTTGGATTATTTTTTGTAAGCCTTAATAGTTTCTTCTGTTTGTGTTCATTTTCTTTGTTAATAGCAACTTCAGCCTTCAGCCACGATCCAGGAAACACAACAATGGCTGCTCAAAAACAGATTCTCTTCCTACACAAGACTGTTCTCCAGTTTTTTAGGTATGTTTGTGTTTGTGTGTGCACATGCACACGTTGTTTGTTTTTGTACTTTTATTAGCTGTAATTAAATTTTGGGGAAGTAACTGTGTATAGATTCGTAAGAAGTTGCCCAAACCTGTACAGGGAGCTGCCCAGTGTCCCCAGTGGTAGTGTCTTGCAGACCTATGGTGCAGTATCAGAACAGGAACTCGATGCTGTTTCACCAGGTTTACATGCCCTCATTTTTGTATACATGTATATAGTTACATGCAATTTTTTGATTTTATTAACTTTTTATTTGAAATAATTTTTGCTTTGCAGTAAGTTGCAAAAATAACACCCTTCACTCAGTTTCTCATACTTATAGTACAGTATCAAAACCAGGAAATTGACATTGGTGCTATGTGTGTATATAGTTCTGTGTCATTTTATCACATGTCTAGATTGTATGCCCACCACCACCGAAGTTAGGATGCAGAATCTTGCCATCACCACAGGGATCTCCCTAATTACCCCTCCCCCACGATCCCTAATACCTAGCAACCATTAATGTATTTTCTGTCTCCATGATTTTGTCATTTCGAAAATGTTACATAAATGGAATCATACAGTATGTTACCTTTTTTTCTCTCAGCATAAGGCCCTTACTTCCATCTAAGATGTTGTATCAATAGTTTGTTCCTCTTTATTGCTATGTAGCATTAGAGAGTATGAATGTACTCATATATGGTTTTTATAGACTTAAGTTTTTTTCTTGCCTAGTAAGCTAAGGGAGTATTTAGATGTAATTTCAGAAAGGACCGGGCAGTGCTGCTTCAGGTGGTGCTATAGGAAGCCTGTTTGGAGGGACAGTAATAGATAACGCCAGCTGGGGCAGGGGCAGCATTTCCTAAACATATTTGGCCCTGGGACCCTTTCCCGACAGAACACTTAGTAACATGTCCTGGCCAAACTCCTCCTGGGCCACGGTGAAGTGGCAGCTGGCTCTCCTTAGCCCATGGTGTTGGGGGACCATCCAAATGCAGCTCGAGCCTTTTAAGAGGAGAGAACATGTGTGCACACAGCTGGCCTAGAGGAAAGCCTGGTTTCACAAAGAACGTGGTTTCCTATTACATCAGCCCTTTATTGCTGTGCTTGTGTCATGGTTAGTCATTCCCCAGGTAGCGCTTTGTCTCTTTAAAATTAAAGTGCTAGGTGAAAGTCGTTGGCTAGCAGGGACGCACATTTTTATGATTAAGTAAGCCTTTTATCTGTGAAAAACTAATTTAAAAATTTCAGCGTGTTGGGGGGTGTGGGGCGCGTCTTGGATGCTCACAGGTGAGACAGGGAGAGCACCGCACAGTCAGAAGGCTCTGCCACGAGGGCCCAGGTTCCTGTTCTGTCAGACGATGCGCGTTATAGTTCTGAGTGGTGATCACGGTGGCTTGGCCTCCTGCCTTTTCTTTCCCCTGTGAGCTTCCCAACAGTAGAAAGGCGAGGAGAGGGAGGCTTCTTTCTCTGAGCCTGTTAGGCAGTCATGTTTTGGAGAGGGCTGTGCAGTGTCTGTCCAGCTCTGTGTGTGGGTGAAGGATGGGCACACACGTCTCTGGTCGCTCCTGGGAGCCCTGTTGGCAGAGGTGTGTATGGAAGGCCCCCTGGTAGAGATGACAGCGTCTGTCTCTGCTTACCTGACTCCATAAACAGCTCCAACAGTGTTCGTGCCTCATGGGAGATGTGCTTCTCTGGTCTTTGTTCTTTTACAAACTAGAAAATGATTAGGCTCTTAACATTCAAGCCCTCAAAAGTAGATAACTCCATTAATCTCGTTACATATGTAAGTGGATATTTATCATATGGAGGTCATGCTTTAATCCCAGAGGGCATCTTAATTCTCCCAATAAACTACATCTTGAGCATCAATAAAAGGTAAAACAAAAGATTGTAGACACAGTGAAACGTAAAACATAGAAGAAAGAGTCTAATGAGCTCCTGGGTCACCACACCCAGCTCCAGAGATGACCAGCCTAGGCCAGTGTCGTTCTCTCCCACTCCCCCCACCTTCCCTTTCTGTCCTACTTTAAAGCAAATGCTAGATACCATGTCACTTACACACCAAATACTTATGGGGGAAACCTTAAGTATAATATGCAATTCTCTGTCAAGCTTTTGTATTAAAACTGGCTGCTGTGATGGAGTTGTTTGTTATAGAATGTTGCACTGTATGTAGCATGTTACAGTATAAAGAGACCTAGTCCTGGGACTTCCCTGGTGGCGCAGTGGTTGAGAGTCTGCCTGCCGATGCAGGGGACACGGGTTCGTGCCCCGGTCCAGGAAGATTCCCACATGCCGCGGAGCGGCTGGGCCCGCGAGCCATGGCCGCTGAGCCTGCGTGTCCGGAGCCTGTGCTCCGCAACGGGAGAGGCCACGACAGTGAGAGGCCCGTGTATCGCAAAATAAATAAATAAAAAACAGACCTAGTCCTAGCTCTGCTGCCAACTTGTGTGCCTTTGGGCTGGTCCCCCAAACTCTGACTTCCATTTCTTCCTTTTGTAAATTAAAGATTGGTCTGGGTCATCTCAAGGTGAACTGTCTGGGGTCAGAATCATGCTTATCTTCACGAGCTCCACCCAGCCAGAATAAGGCAGGCACTGAAATCCTGTATTGGGAAGAGACACTCCTGTTGGCCCTTTGGTGTCGGCTCATTGCTCTGATTTTCCAGCCTCTGGGCTTCTGAGTTCCTTCTTGATAGAGAACATTGGAGAGCCAGCATTCTCTCTGGCTGGGAGGGACAGGTGTGTGTGTGTGTGTTGTTCATGTGTATGTGTATACACAGGAGACCTGGCGATGGCTTCGAAGGACGTTAAACTGTACTGTACTGCTGGTTCTTCTCCCACTTCCTTGAGAAGATTCTTTTTGCTCTTCTCTAGGTGCCGACTTGTTAAAACTGACAAAGGAGGATCTAGTACAAATTTGTGGTGCAGCCGATGGAATTCGGCTCTATAATTCACTGAAGTCAAGGTAAAATACCGTGTTTAAAAGGAACTCTTCTGCTTGAAATAAGAATGTGCCCTTGTTCGCGTGGGGACTGCGGGCAGGATGTGTCCACGCCACGTCGGCGTGTGCCCTTGCGCTGTGGCCACTGGCCCGCCGTGCTCACGAGGAGACTGTTTTGTGTACACCTTCAGGCAGGCCCAGATATGATGCAGGCACTGAGGGCAGAGGTAGACTGTAAGACTAGAAATGCACATGGGCAGGACTGTGGTCTGGAAGACGACTGGGTTTGTTGCCAAGAAAACAAACTTCTCATTTAGGTGAGCTATACAGAATCTATGGTTTTCAAGGTCATGTGACACTACTAAACAGTTATTAAAAATGTAAACTTCTAATTGTGAATTAAAATGATAGAACTGTAAACTGTGCTAGCTTTTAAGATCCATTTACTATCGTTGGTATTTCTAGACTTGTGGTGTGAGAATTCCATTAAACTGAATTTTACTGATGTTACATTGCTGACATAATCTTGAAACTTAAATTTACCAGCATCTGACCGACCATCTCAATGGTTTAGAGTCTGGATCATCAGATTAGACCACCTGTGATAACCTGTGATAGTTGGTGTGAGGTGTGTGTTTTTATATTCTTCCTAGTAAATTATTTCGTATAATGAAGTAACGTTGTAAAGTTCTCCTAAGGAAATAGACCCTAGATTCTTGTAGCTGTCGCTTGCGCGTGCGGCCTTCCTGCCGGCTCACAAGCGCCGTCTTCTGGTTGCAGGTCGGTGCGGCCCCGCCTGACCCTCTACGTCTGCCGCGAGCAGCCGGCGCCGCAGGGGCAGCAGCAGGCAGCGGGTGGCGGGGGCGACGGCAGCGCTGCCACGCCCTACGGTGGGTATGGGCGGGCAGGGGTGGGGGGGGCCAGGACACTCGGCTTCCTGCCACTGCCCTTCTGAGTTGGTAGGGACCACTGGGTTGTCCTGGCAGCGGTGAGAGGCAGTGGCCCTTCTTGGCTGTTGTTATGATAAAATTTAATTTTAAAAGAACAAGTGTAGGGCAGAGTATGGCACCTCTGCTTTAGAGCCTCTCTGTAGTCTTACCTTAATTGTAGTTCCAAATTCTAAGCAAAGGTTTCTGTACTCACACACATGAAAAAACCCTTGTTTGGGGAAGCAAAGTAAAAGCACTGATATTCCTGATCCGTGTTTGGCTTGAGTCAGTAGTAGAGCAGGACCTGCGAGACTCAGGCTCACTGCAGATGTGCCTGACGCTTTGCAGACAAGGGCTGCTGCATCGTCACGTGTTCCAAAAACAGCTGGGCTTTCTGTGGAGAAGCAGGAGGCCTCGTGGTCCACATCCTTAGCTTCTCGTGTGCCGTCTTCTACACTGTTTTTAATTCTTTAGGGGAAAGGAAGAGGGGAGAGGTAGCTTTTATTCTTTAGGATAAATTCCCAGTAGTAGGTTTACTGAATCAAAAACTAAGACCTTTCTAGAGTTCTTTTTATATATGGCTAGAAATACATAGCATTTTTGAAAATGGCTTTCTTTCGGTGTAACTTACATACCACAAAGTCCTCCCACTGCAAGCACACAATTCAGCGATACCTTAATCAGTTTACAGTTTTGCAGCCATCGCCACAATCCAGTTTTAGTCCCATTACTCCAGAATGATCATCTGTGCCCATCTGCAGTCACTTCCTGCTTGCTTTTAAGATAAAACCTCAGATACTTTTGTACAGAGGTTAATGTTAATTAAATTATGTGTGAGCATAGATAATGTATTATTATATTCACATGGGTAGTAAGGGGAGAAGTATTCTTATCTTTATAATTTTTATATTTCTTTAGTACTTTGACAGGAGTGATCTTCCAATAGATCAGGTGGAAAATAGATCAAAGATTACTGCTAAAATGCTGTTCCTATTTTTTATTTCAGTTTATCATGCAATCTACTTAGAAGAAATGGTTGCTTCAGAAGTTGCTCGAAAACTCGCGTTGGTGTTTAATATTCCTTTCCACCAAATTAACCAGGTTTACAGACAGGGTCCCACCGGTATTCACATTCTTGTGAGCGATCAGGTAACTGGCATGCCCTTTTCCCTTTCACACTGATATTTACTGTTATATGTATTACTGAAGTGCTATAGAAAAAAAATCTGTGACTCCTTTGGCAAGTACTCATGAGAATCATTTTCAGAGTTGGGAATCAAGATTGGGAAGAATTTATAACCAAGAGTTCTAGATGTCCTGGGTGGTAGGAGGAATACACGCAGAGGAGAACCGGAGCTCCGATCCCGCCCTCTTTGAACTCCGACACTGGTCACTGGGGGGCTCTGGGTTAGCGAGCCTTTGGCCCTTTTTAGCAAGCCATTTGAATGTGTTTTCCTTTTGTGTACTATTTGATGGCTGATTTTAAGAAGCTGTGAGGTTAGAAGGGCAGTTCACTGCTGCCCCGTGTCCAGTGACAAGCAAGTAAGAGCACTTTGGCAGCAACTTTTTGTTAGTCACTATCACAGAACCCAGCAGTGAATGCCTCCCCGTGGGCTGGAGGGTGACTGACCAGATCGCTGGGCCCCCATGGGCAAGCACGGTCAGCACCGAGCTGGCCAGTACAGCAGGTGTAAGTCGTTGCTACCTCACACTGCCTATTTGAATTACCATTTTGGCCGTTGAGTCCTGTACTCGTGCCGCTATATATAGATAATGACATTTTTCTTTTACTACTTTTACCCAGTTAAGAAAAGACAGTTGGCTCTTAATTATACATCTGCTTTATCCTTCTAGATGGTTCAGAACTTTCAAGATGAGAGTTGTTTTTTATTCTCCACAGTAAAAGGTACGTGTGTCTTGAAATGCGAGAATCATGAAAGATAGTGTGTGCCTGAAATCAGCAGTCATCTTGCATATTTACTTTTGGAAATGCTGGCTTTACTAATTTTAAGAAGTTTGAAAAAGGAATCAAGGAAATATTTCTAGTGACTGAAATATTGTCGAAATTAACTAGCAAGTAAGGGAGAGGAATCAGTCCTTCTGGATGCCTGGAGAAAAATCCCAGTCCATTTAGCCAACATTTTACTGAGCACCTCATGTCAGACACATGCCGTTGGTGCTAGAAAGGTCTTCCCCTCCTGTAGTGGGGAAAGGAAACCAGAATTGGTCCATAGATGGACACAGATTACAAATAGGTAATTTAGGTGCCATGAATGAATGGGGAAGTGGGGTTGCTTGTGGACGAGGGGGCCCGGGGAGGGGGACATGCAGCTGTGGAGGCTTCTCTGAGGAGCTGTCATGAATGCTGAGACCTGGAGCCTGAGGGGGAACTGAACACACGAGGAGCAGCACCCCAGCTGGCGCGGGGCCGGGTGCAGAGGAAGGAGCGTGGCTGCTCTGGAGGCCTGAGAGGGCCCGTGGCTGCTGTGCAGGGCGAGGACGAGCAGAGCTAGAGGCGGGTCTGGTAGGCAATGCCTGGCGGTGGTGGGAGTTTAGATTTTATTTGAAATGCATTGGAAAGTCAGTGATGTTGTTTAAACAGATGAGTAATGTGAATAGATTTTTCTTTTCTTCCACTCGCAACTCTGTGGAGACAGATGAGAAGGTGGGAAAACTGGAGGCAGGAGATGTCATCTAGATGAGAGGTGACGGGATCTTGGACGCTGATAGGGCCCTGCTGGGCTCCACATTGGAGGGAGGAGTGGTTGTGACTGTCACAGGAGCAGCTGGGCAGGCGGTGGTCGCGGTGGAGAGGTAGGCGGGCTTGGGGGAAGCGGCCAAGGCTTCTGTTTTAGGACGTGGAAATCATAGCCGGCTGGGGCTGGCAAGAGAGGCCTGGGCTTGAGGTGTAAACCTGGAAGCCTTCAGTGTGTCCGCCGTGACTCAAAGCGGTAGAAATTCTTGAGCTTATGGAGGGAGAGAATGTGAAGAGCGGGCCCAGACGGGGTTCAGTAGGGTTCCAGTTACAGGGCTGGATAAAGGAGGGGTTTTTTTAAATGTAAAGTTACTGTGAGAAGAGACCTTTAAAAGTCTGATGAGTTAAGATCTAAAGCTGCACCTCAAAGAGCACGATGTCACGTGTCACCCTTTCCTGGGAAGAGAGCAGCCCACCTTGAAGGGAGGGGCTGAAGTTAGGACTTCACCCTGTGCCTAACATGTCTCGTAAGCCACCAAGTTAACCTGCAGTGCAGGGCTGTTTAGTCTGTGAACTGGCCCACTTTATCTTTTCTTATCAGACGTGTTTAGCTTAGTACCCTTCTGGCTCAATTTTTCGTTCTGCAAAACTCACACTGTCTATAAAAGAGGCAGTTCGTACAGTGAATGTGTGGCTGCGTCCTGTGAAGGTGGTGGGGTTTCTGGTGTCGGGCATCACAGGACGTCCCCGCCCTGCTCAGTGTACTGTTTTCAGACATTGGTCCTTATGGAAAAATTCATTTGTTCCTTGATGACCGCCTGTACTGCTGCTTCTCACCAACTCATGAGAAACACTAGGCCATCGCGCAAAAGTAGTGATGTGTGTTTTTAAAATGTTTCAGATCTACTTTTGAGGAGTTCAAAAATTATTTCCAGAAAAGGTGGATGTAAGCACCCAGTTCATTGGATAGTCTGTGCCCTGTGCCTTGCCCTCAAGTGGGGGGTGGGGCGGGCAAAGGGAATGTGCACATGACGCTGCCGTAGGCAAGAGGGACTGGAGCAAGTTAGCTTGTTTTCCTCTAGAATATTTAAAGGTACCCTCTGAACTGGGGTGGGGGGTTGTAGAGTTCTAGGAGTGTTCAACGTAGTCTTGATTCTCCAGCCTGGTAAAAAATTGCGCCTAGCGTCCCTTTCTTTTTTCCGCAGCTGAAAACAGCGGTGGCGTCCACATAATTTTGAAGTGACGTCTTGACGTAGTCTGAACTCTATTCAGCACCAGTTAAAGTTAACGCTTAAAAGTGTGTGAAGACTGAATCCAAGAAGTCTTGGGATTGGATTTTACCATATGAAATGTTTCATATTGAAAACACAGGATGACCTTTCTCACAAGCTGGATGAGAGGCACGTCTCCTTCGCTTCACTGCCTCGGCCTCGCCCCGGGACAGTGAGCACGTCGGGCCCCCGTGCAGGTAGGCCGCCTGCTTCTCTGCCAGAGAGGCCAGTAGACAGTCCCTAGAAGCAGCCTTCGCTGTCTTTTTACACTGTATGCGGTTTGGAAATGAATGTAAAGACGTACTGTGGGCATTTACCTTTCTGGGCCAGTTCGGCTTCTGCTGCCGGGACCTTATGCTGACCTGGGTGGGGGTGGGGGGGCACTGGCTGCTGCGGGGCCAGCGCCAAATCCACGTGTGGAGAGAGGGAGGCCGGCGCTGATACAGGCCGATCAGTGGTCAGGGGAGAGGCTTGGCGCCTTCTTGGAAAAAATCATGTCTAAGGGTGCGGGTGCGCATCTGCTGTGATCATGCCAGATCGGGGAAGCCCCAAGCCAGGAAGAGGGGCGTGAAGCAAACTGCATTAGCAAGAGTACCTTGGTGAGAGGATCAGTGTAAATCCTAATAGGTACAAAGACTTTTGTGTTTTTGCTTTGTCACGGATTTATTGAAAAACTTTTTGCTTCTGCTTCCATTTTTAGCATTTTGGTTTTCATTTTTGAAGCCCCAATGCCTTTTAAACTCATGTGGTTTTTCTTTCTCCTTTTCCTCCCTCTGTCTCTGACCACCCACCCCACCCTGCACCATACTGTTGTTAGACTTTTTCAAAGACCTGTCCCCAACATTGGAAATACGCCTAAGCAGGAGAAAACAGTGTGATAGTTTCTGACTTGGTGTTAAGGGGTCTTCATTATCAAGAGTTGAAATTTATTTGTGGAACACTAGACATCACAAACACTATATTGTACCATCAAAATTCCTCACACTTCTCTCTAATATGGAGCTTTAGTACAATCACGGGTAACATTCTGGTGATTATTTAGGGACTTTTTTATACACCACATAATAGCTTCTTTTTCTATAAAAAGAGTGCCTCTTTCACAAAACCAATGCTTGTTGGCCAGTATACTTTCCAAAGGGAATCACTGTTTTTGCAATTTTTTCTACTATCAATCATTATTATCTCTTCCCTTCACCCGAAGCCTTCCCAAAATTCATCAGCAAGCATTTGAGGCCTGTGGTGTACACAATTTTCTTTTCAAACTTTGATTCCATTTTAACTATACCATCTCTGTCTGTTCACCCAGTGTCTTGGTTTTGAGTGTATTATTTGATCCTTATCTCTGTTCAGGCAGAAATAGGAATGGGTAACTCTGAGTTTAAAATCTCTCCCAGAAGACAGACTACTTCAGTGGGTGAAGCTTTGGCATTTTATGTTTTATTCATAAAGGGGGTTACTTGATATGAAAAAGTAATGTCTCTAAATATTCCATCTTTGGTTTGAAAATATCCATAACTTGTATAGACCCTAAAGCAGGAGAGCTTTCCTTTCCGTCATTTTCCCTTTGCTTTTGTACGACCACATGTTTTCTGTACCAGTCACTTGGGAAAGAAGTGAGCTTCTCTCTTAATTGTTTAGAGTTTTGCTTGTCTATTTAGCATTCCTTTTTGAGTCTCAAGATTTATGGAACAATAAATGTCATTTTTAATGCTGTGTGCTATTCTGAATTCCTCATCAGGTTTTACAAGTGGGGTAAAAATAATTAAAGCTCATCAAACTTGAAATGACACCAAGCAGCACTGAACATTAGTCTGTCCCAGTGAAACAGGTTAAATTATGGCACCAGCAAATTTGCTACTTTGTTTTTTTAATAGTAGGATGTACACATTTCAGTATAATAAATGTTTTCCGATTGTTTTGCAAATGTGTGTCTCATTTAAAATCCAAGTTTCTGCCAGTGTGTCACCTCATGTCATAGAATCAAGGAGTTCACTGTGTATGTTCTGAGTACACACCAGTCCCAATGTTGTTGTAAGAGCTGATGGTAGTGTGTGTTTTCATTTTGTTTCCTCAAAGCTGATGCAACTGAGGACAGCTTATCCAGTGACTGTGCCACACTTAAGGGGAAGCAAACCTGATTTTCCTTAACAGAGGTTCTCCTGTTTTGTAGATGTGGTCCAACGTCATTCAGCCAGAGTCCAGTAGCTGTGAGAGGTTGTTTCCGGGCTCAAAAGAGATAATGTATAGAAGGCCCATGGTCATTTAAATTTTTAAAATAGAAACTATATTCATAGCTTCCTGCAACAGCCATTTTTTCCCCCACACAGTGGTGTAAATGTATATTTAGATAACTGCTATGGTATACACACAATAAGGCAGCACAATCATCAGGACTTGAATGCTTATTCTGATAATCCTGTTAATTGATTTATAGAGTTGTATATCCATCTATTTGCCCTCTCTCCCCAGAATGCAGCTGAGGCCTTGTATCCTAAATGCTTCTAAAACTGTCCACCTAATAGAACCGTAACCCAATTAGAAGTATTGCTTGTCATGGGGAAATTTCTCGTTTTTGCTGTTTCCCTCAGCTTCTCATGAGCTCTGGGCTCTTCAGTTTGGGAAGTGGTTACTAAGAAGGGTTGGCTACCATTAACACAGAGATGCAGTAAAGGTCACAAATGTGGACAGCACAGAGCAGAAACCAGATCATCTTATCAGATTTCAGGTAACATTAGGAACGCCTGAATTTGGAAGATGGTTTTGCTCAGGTTTGTCTGCGATGAGATAATAGCAATAAAACCCTCTGACTTCAGCATTGCAGTGGTTTATTCATTTTTATATAAGTCTCAAAGGTACCAACACTTTACTGATTTTAGTTTTAAGTGTGTAAAATTTTTGAATAGTCCTGGTGTAACTTGATTTCTAAGATTTTAAAATAAACTTGGAAAAAAATCACACCCATTCTACATGCATCCATTATTTTTAATTGATTATATTATAGATAACTTGAGCCTTAATTCTGTTTCTTTAAGGTCCCCCAAAGTTTGTGAGACATGACATGATCAGCTTTTCTATAACAACAACACATTATGTGCCACAGCCTACGCCAGAGCTTATGATTTCCAATCAGGCAACACAAACTGAGTTGCTTTTGTTTAGTTTTTGGTCCCCAAAAGGATATATGACAAGTTGACAGAAACAGAAAGGTGAAGACCTTGCTTCACCCTGTTTAGAGTCCTCATTCTTTGGTGTCTCATGGAAACCTATTAACTTGCCTTCCACGTAAGTCGCTACATAGAAGACTGTCGGGCATTATGAATTTGCAGTATAGTCACTTTGATAAAGTTGCTATTTAATCTTCAAAGTGGAAAAGTCCTGCTAATCAAAATGGAATCGTGAATAAAAGTAGGCCACTGGCTGAAGTATCAGGTAGAAAATCAACAGCTTATTTTTCTGCTCAATTTGTGCTAACACTAATGGTATGTTTGAGGAATGCTGACAAAGCCAAGGGCAGGAATTCTGTACCTAGGGAGGCACCCACCTCTAGAGATCCAGGTCTCCTGCATGGTCCTGGCTGCACTATGACCACTCTTGCCCTGTGTTAATTGACACAAGGCTTCGAATTGATTGCATCACAGCAGAATAAAGGTAAAAACTATCACGAGAGTTACTGCAGTCCCTGCAGAAGTCTTTTACCTGTAAATGCCTTTCCCAATGGAGAATCAACAGATTTGGATGATGGTGGAGTACGTCAGAAAGACTCGGGTCCTCGGGAGGAAGGGACACCTCATGAAGCCCTGGGCTGGGCAGCTGCTGTCAGAGGATGACACAGCACCTGCATAGCCTCTGTCCACTTCCTCCCACTGCTGTCGGCGGGGTGACAGGAGCAAAGTAGGCATGGACTTTGACATGAGGGAGCTGGGCCTGAAAGGAAAAAGGAAAAGTGTAGTCATAAGATAGTTTGGGAATTGCAGGCATAATCCTTGAAAAGCCCACAGTTCTCCCATAGAATCTAGTTCATTCTACCATTAGGCAGATAGTCCCAATAGAATTTCTGGTGTGCGCTAATGCTGCTCCTGTCGACATGCACGTCTCCCCAAACAGCACCTTTTAAAGACAAAGGGGTGGTCGTTGTCCCTGTGTGCAAACCGAGTAGAGTTGTAACAGCTGTAGCACCTGGGGCTGCTTAGGGGTCTAAGTGCAAAGTTGCCTAAACTTAAAGCGTATTCAAGGACGATGCAGGTGAACTACATGCGGAAAGAACACCACAGTTACTAAGACACTTTATACCTAGAAATTAGCAAAGATCAAGCCTACTGATAACAGCCTTAAGTCCCTTTCCTTCTAATAAGTTTGCTAATCAACAGACCACATGGAACCTCCACCCAGACCCATTCTAGAAGTCGCCTCTTTCCAGGGTGGGGTCTAATAAGGAAATTTAGAAGAAGTCTAAGATGATAGTTTGCGTAACTATTGGCCCAGGACAGAATGTAGAAAATGGATGTTGATTCTTGGTGTATTTGTCGTTTGCTGAGAAACTGCCAGGTGTGGCTGCTGCCTGACACTTACCCGCATCCTCTTGATGCCCGCGCGGGTGACCTGCTGGCAGTCGTACAGCTCGAGGCGCTCCAGGCCACGACAGTTCTCCAGGTGCTCCAGGGCCACGTCAGTGATGAGGAGGCAGTTGTCCAGTTCCAGCACCCGCAGCCTCTCGTGGCCGCAAGGGCTGTTGCTCAGGTGCAGGATCCCATCATCCGTGATGAGCTCACAGTGGGACAGGCTCTAGAATGAGGGGAAGCACAGATGTTTGCTGGACCCTCTCATTCCAAGGCTCACAGCCCAGGAAGAGCAGGGAAGCCGGCCCAGGCAGCGTCCCTGGGAACCACTGAGCAGCGGGAGGATGGAGCACAAAGCTGTGGGCCCATGGGCAGCGGCTTCTCTCACCTTCCCACCAGGTAAAGATGGGAACCGACACTGCAGAGGGCAGTCTGCGCCGTGAGGATCCTGAACTCACCTCTTCCCGCAAACGGTGAATCTACAGCTACACGGAACAGCTTCCTCCAGAAAAAAACAAAAACTGGCTGAACGACTCTCCACATTGGGCAGATGAGAGAAGGCCCACTTGGAAGCGGAAGGAGAGGCTGGGCCATAGTCTGGCATGAACCCCGGCCCCAAGCGCGGAGACCCCCGGGCAGGAGGGAACTCATAACCTGGAGCTTCTCACTGAGGAGCGAACGGTTTAACCCCACATCAGGCACCTGAACGTCTAGCTGGAAAAACCATCCCGCTGACCTCCGAGAGACCCAGAGACCACAGCAATGTGAGGAGGAATTCAAAGGACTTTCACACCCGGGCCCTCCCCACCCGCAGGGCCCAGCTGATGGAGGGGAGCCCAGCCCGGGTGTGGGAGGCTCGGGAGGCTCGCCTGCTAGGTGACACATTGCGGGGCCTGCTGGGGTGCCCCCAGGGCCTAGAGATGGGCGGGGGCCATCTTTGCACATTCCCTCTGCCGAGCTCCAGCCATTGGATGACATTTTCTTTTTTAAATTCTGGGCTTCTTCCTTCCCGATGAGCACTACTTGGCATCCTCTCCCGGCCCTGCCTCTGCCTCACGCCAGGGTGCCATCCTTGTTCTCTGTCTCTGTGTTTCTCTCAGGGGGAGAGTTTCACGTGTGTCTGGTGCCCGTTTTTGCAGCTGTTGCCAGGGGACACGTCCATCTCCTGGCCTGCGGGGTCCCACGGGACTGTAACCAATGGAGAGATTGTTAAGTGGCTCCCACGTCCCGGGATCAGCAAGAGAAAACACCCAGGAGTCGTCTTTCTCGGAAGGAGGACTAGGAGCTTTTGTCATCACAGCTGCAGCCAGGGGCACAAGCTTCCAATTAAACACATCCAAGGGCTGACTGTAATCCTTCCTAGAGACCTTGGAGGCTGATGCTGTCTTTGCTCTCCCCTCTGCCCCTCTCCAGAGCACCAGTATCTCCCAGAGGGGAGCTTTTACATCTGCCTGGTGACCTGGTTTTTATTTCTGGTGCCCCAGTCTTTGTATAAGGTGCCCATGGGATGCTCCTTGCTGACCTGGCCCTGATGGCCAAAGAAGGCTTGTATTCCTGGGTCCCATGGGACTTTAACATGAAAGAGTTCTTGGCAGGCTACCACCCCCAGGGCACTTTACAGACAGCAGGCTGAAACACACCCCCAGCCTTTCTGGGAAAGAGGCCTGTTTGCTTGTCCTGGAGCTTACAGGGCGGGCTTCAGGTCTGGTACACGTCTAGAGGCCTACAGATGTGCTCTCAGCAAAGGCAGGTGCAGGTACATGCCATCTCTGTACTCTCCCTGGTCAGTATCCCCCCAGACAGGAGTTTACGCCCTTATCTGGGAAAAGTACCAAACAGAGGTCACAGAGCTGAAGAATACAACTGAACTGAAAAAGTAGAAGGTTTCAAGAACAGACTAGATGAAGCAGATAAAAGGATCAGTGACTTGAAGACATGGCAGTGAAAATCACCCAATCAGAGCAGCAAAGAGAAAAAGAATGAAAAAAAGTAAAGAAGATACCCTGACAGACTTATGGGACAATATCAAGTGGACTAACGTTCTCATTATAAGGGTAACAGAAGAAGAGAGAGGAACAGGCAGAAAAGCTAATGGAGGAAATAATGGCTGAAAACTTCTCCAGCCTGGGGGAGGAAACACATCCAGATTCAGGAAGCCCAGAGAATTCCAAATAAGATGAGACCCACACCAAAACATTACAATTAAAATGTCAAAAATTAAAGAATCTTAAGAGCAGCAAGAGAAAAACAACTTGTTATATATTACAAGGGAACTCCCCATAAGACTATATCAGCAGGCTTTTCAGTGGAAACTTTGCAGGCCAGAATGGAGGGGCACAATATATTCAGAGTGCTGACAGAAACGAAAAAAAATCCCAACCAAGAATACTAAACCTGACAACGTTATTCAGAACTGAAGGAGAGATGGGAATTCCCTGGCGGTCCAGTGGTTAGGACTCAGCGCTTTCACTGCTGGGGCCCAGGTTCAATCCCTGGTTGGGGAGCTAAGATACTGCAGGCCGCACAGCGTGGCCACAAAAAAAAGAACGGAAGGAGAGAGAAGTTTTCCAGACAAGCTAAAGCTAAACGAGTTCATCATCACTAAACCTGCCTTACAAGAAATGTTAAAGGGACTTTGTTAAGCTGAAAAGGGCACTAATTAGTAACAAGAAAACATATGAAGGTATAAATCTCACTGGTAAAGGCTGTGATAAATCAGGGTGAAAGATAAAACTCTGTGGCATCAAGAAAATAATATAGTCTTTATTGCCTGTAATTCTTTGTTCTTTAATATAATAGCTAAAATTCTTAGATAGCTTCTAGGACCAAAGAGCTGCATTAATATTTTAAAAGTCAAAAGAACTGGCTCTGGTACTGAAGAGGAAACCAGCCCCCCAATTATCAATAGAACCTGCTGATGACATCCTACAAACTAAAAACTGAAGTAACAAAGAGGATCCTTAACCTCCTTTGAACAAATTTCATGAACTCCTCTGTGTTCTTTTGAATCTGGAGTTCCCCTTGTTTGCAACTGTATATTTGACTTATTTTCAAAGAAACATGATGAGTTTCCCTTTCAAAATAGCCTTCTAGATTTGGTTTTTGTGAGAGTACAAGGCCCTTCCTCCCTTGAGGATTACAGAGCAGTTCCTGGAAGGGGTGGGGTATGTGCACACTTGCCTCCTTCACATGTAAAGAAGAACCTGGGAACTGAAGTTTAGCAAATGAGGTGTGATAGCTGGCTCGGGGCTAGTGGTCACTTCCCTCATTTCCTCCTGCTTGCAGATCTTTAGTAAAAGCTAAAAACCAGATTTCAAAATTCTGAATCTATGGAGCTTTGCCCCAATAGCATTGGCTCCTCTGAGCTCCCCAGGCTGGGGGGGGACTCCCTGGGGTGTACCCCCGGCTCCAGCATGGAGAGCACTGTCTGGCACTCCCCCAGGGAGGTGGGGACCGGCTGCTCCTATGCGCGTGTCTCAGGCACACCCGGGCTGCCCCACACCAAGACTGCATCTGTGCTGTGAGACCTGCAGCGGCAGAAACGCACGTCCAACAACCCTGAGCTTCTAGTCACCCTTGGCTCTACCTGGGGGCTGACAGAGGCGCTGCTACCATGTACATAGCAGGGAGAACCCCTGGAGTATCCGTTAACAAGGATCCAGACACACACTGCTGTGCAATTTCTGAGTGACGATGAAGTCTGTCTCTTCCAATGAATGATCTTTTCACTCTCCAGTGCCTAGAACAGTGCCCAGAGTGTAGTGGTCCTCAAGAGGTGTTTGTAGAGTGAATTTGATGAATATAATCAGATTTAATCCACAGCATTTCCCTTTTTTGTGTGGGCTACTAGGCATCTCCAAAGCTAAGTTTAGATTTCAACTGCAACTGTTTCCCTGCTTTTCTGCTAATAATCCTCCAGGTATTTTTCTTTTTTTTTTTTCATTTGAGGCTCTTATCTTGGACTTCTGGGTTTTATTATAGTTTATCTTTTACTCTAAGTCCCCTTTCTGGAAGTAGCTTGTATGAATATCGGGGAAGATGGGGAAGATTTCAGTCACCAGAATCCCCACTGGGGAGAGAACACTATTTGGAAGACATTTCCTGACCCGTCGCTGAGGTGGGGCTGCACTCCTGAGGAAGCAGGAGCTAGGGAGCTGGTGGAAGGCCTTGTCCCGTGCGTGCACACAAGAGATGACACTGCCCAAGGGGTGGGAGTCCAAGCCCAGGGTATCTCCGAGTCGGGGGCAACAGGGAGGAGGGAGGTTAAAACAGGAAACAAAGCACGGGGCTCCTAACCTTCCCCACACCTCTGAGAAGCAGGCCACCTCAGGGGCACAGGGACACGGGGACGAGGGGTGGAGAAAGCCCATCAGACAACTGGTTCTATCAATTATAAAACCAGATCAGAACTAATTTGGGAGTAAAGACATTAGAACGACAAAATTATCTGCAGGTGTGTAGAGAGAAACAGTTTCAGCAGAGAATCTGGAAACAGGTAGGTTTCTGACTATCTCTGAAATCTGACACCAAACTCAGAGTCCCAGAGCTGTCCAAAGCCCAGCACACTTGTGCCTGAGGGAGAAGCAACCAGAAGGAATGTGGAAATAAGGAAAACTGGTGGGGAGAGTAACTCAAGGCCAAACGGAGCTCTAATGATGTTATAAAATCGTAGCCCTTGCTGACAGAGCAAGTTCAAAGGGGATAGAGAGAGCTGGCTTAAAAATCTGTCGTGTATCTCAGGGCAGTGGAAAGACCAGATCCCACGGAAGCCACGAGATCTGGGTCCTTTGGGCAGTTGTGTAGATCTGGGCAAGCTTCTTAACCGCTCTGAGCCTCAGCTTCCTCACTGGTAAAATAGGGATGTCCATGGTGCCCGCATCACAGGGCTGTGTTGGGATTCAATGAGTCAGTGTATCTGGTGGGAGCAGGCAGCCGAATGGGGACTCCACCTCTGCTTCACATCCAGCAGCCGGATGGGAAACATGCACGCGACGTCTACCTGGCTAAGAGTGTCAATGACACTTTTCATTGCTCATTCTAGATCTTTCAGTATATTCTAATCCCCCCATAGATATCTGAGCAGATATGAAATGTAATATAAGGATGGCCTCATTTTAACCGTGCTTTCACTATACCCGACATGATGAACATGAATTTGAGTAAGGACGCTGGTCCCTATATTAGGTTCACACCCAAAAATGAAAGCAGTGACATTTAGATACCCTGCCTCCCAAGTGAGCCCAACGCACAGGCCTTTGAAACCAAGAATGATGACACCCTATGGAAAGGAAGGTTCTTGCTGTAGTACGGGGGTTCTTTCATCCCTAAGAGGTAAGTAACGTCACAAAAAGCTCAGACTCACCAGGGCTTGCAGTTTAGGACAGTGAATGGAGAGCTGGATGAGTGTGCTGTCGGTTATCTGGAGAGAAACACGTGGTGTCAGTGTGGCTTCTACACCAGAACTTAATACCTAATCCTGCTTCTCCTGAATACAAGAATCAAAAGGTGCAAAAGAGAATTAAAAACTTATCTCAAGCACACTTGGGCTGGGAGCCCGAGGGACAAAGGGACAAAGAGGGCCCCCCAAGATTCTTCTCTGCAGAGTCACCTCGTCACTGGACATGCAAGCTTATTTCTCCCTTAAGTTTTGTGAAAATGAGTCCTTTTGTTTTTTTAATGTTTGGCAAAAGATGATGCTATCCTGAACTTGGCTGTAACTGATGACTGAGAACAGCCCAAAGTTTATGCCTCCCCCTCCTGTGGCCCTCACAGGTTCCCAAGCCCTTACACCTATGCTGGGGCAAGGAGGGTCCAGACAACGGCCAGTTGGCATCTCTGGTTACGCCTGTCAGTGGCTGAGGGGCGCCCTGCAGAGCTGTCAGGAGTCCACTCACCAAGATGCATTCTTCGAGATCCATCTTCTCCAGGTCATGACAATTCTGAAAAAGTCCATAAGAGTTCATAAGACACCCCATTCCAAAGGTGACCCAGTGAGCCAGCACTTTTGAGCAGGTGCCCCTTGAATCATATTCACTTTGGAAATGGGCATTAGGGCTGCATTTCCTTCTCTCATACTGGAAAGGCAGTTGTCTGCACCTTCCCAGTGGCTCACAGGTATCAGCACAGAGATTTTAGCCATGGAATGGGCTCTGGGAGGTCATGGGGGTGGGTGCTCAGCCACGGTGGGGATGGTGGAGGGCTGGGGTAGGAGGAAGAGTGTATCAGCATCCCCAGGAGGACATGGGTTCTGGGCAGCAGGCTACAGGGGCCCCACAGTGGTTGGCACTGGCAGGGCAGTGTGGAGAGAGAGGGCAGCGGCAGAGCCCAGCCCAGCTGAGGGATGCTACTGAGAGGCTGAGTCTGTGTGAGGAAGGGCATCCCCTGGCAGGGAGGAGCCTCTTCTCATTGGGGTCCCACCTGACCAAGTGAGAGTGAGGTCCACACCTGGTACAGGACCTGCCTAGCTTTCCAGCCTGCTGGGGAAAATTCAGAACCCGCCCCCCCCCAACCCAAGGACTCTATTCTACTTGGTGCCTGTCATTTCTGAAGGTAGTTTTCTGCACACTCCAAGACCACTCCAATTCACTTTGACTGAGGGAGGTGAATTAGAGTTTGGTTTGATTTTGTAAAACCTCTGTCTTACCCGAGCTAAAAGTGTAAAGCCTGCATCAGTCAAATGGGAACATCGGGCAGCCTCCAAGATCCTGGTATAAGGAGTGCACAGAAGACAAAGTGGTGACTGGTTAACAACAGAAAAGCGTACTTTACAATGCTCTTGAGTTTATTCCACTCTGTGACACAAAAATGAGGCTCAGGAGGAATGTGACCTGCCCAAAGTCCCATCCCAAACTTGGTCAGTAAATCCAGGAATCTTCCCACAATACCAGCACATGGTTGCTGTTGTTTTTAGATATTATTCTAATATGTGTTGACTTCTAAACAATTAAAATGTACTTTCACTCAAGAAAATCATCTTGATATACTACTGCATTTACTGAAATTCCCAGTCACCCTAAAGGAAATTTTAAAAATTCACAGCCAATGAAAACATCCATGCTTAACAGGGATGGATGCTTAAATAATATTTTTAAGTTAAATTACTCCCTTACAGCAATAATTTTGACCTCCTTTCTGACCAGTTTTGACCACTTATATTCCTTCTACCATGCAGAAACATCAAAATTCTCTAGAATCTTCCCTAGTTCAACAGTAAGAAAAATGGGGAAAAGGCAAAATAAGACAATTCTTAGAAGGTATATAACCAAAAAAAAAAAAAAAGGGGGGGGGGGGGGGGGGACACTGCCGGGGCCCAGGTTCAATCGCTGGTGGGGGAACTGAGATCCCACAGGCCATGCAGATGGGCCAAAAAAAAAAAAAGGGGGGGGGGGTGGGGGGGTACTTCTTTGGCAGTCCAGTGGTTAGGACTCCACACTTCCACTGCAGGGGTCATGGGTTCAATCCTCAGCCAGGGAACTAAGATCCTGCATGCCATGTGGTGCAGCCAAAGGAAAGAAAAAACAAAGATATCTAACTGGTGTATGAAAAATGGATCAGTTTCACTGATAAAAGAGTAACAAAACAAGTATCTTTTTTCTGCCTCTTTTGTAGGGGTTAAGGTTGCTGGTTCTAAAATCAAACTCTACAAGTTCAAATTCTAGTTTTACTTCTTACTTATCATGTGACCCAGGATGAATTCTGTGCTTTTCTTTTTTTTTTTTTTTGCGGTATGCGTGCCTCTCACTGTTGTGGCCTCTCCCGTTGTGGAGCACAGGCTCTGGACCTGCAGGCTGAGTGGCCATGGCTCACGGGCCCAGCCGCTACGCGGCATGTGGGATCTTCCTGGACCAGGGCACGAACCCATGTCCCCTGCATCGGCAGGCAGACTCTCAACCACTGTGCCACCAGGGAAGCCCCATGTGCTTTTCACTGAGTCTCAGTTTCTCCTCTGCAAAACAAGTGAGAATACAGTACCTACACCTCCTAGCAATGCAGTGAGGACTAAGTGAGACAATGCTTGTGAAACTGCTAACAAAGAGCCTGGAACATATATGAGTTCAACTGATGTTAAGCATGATTAGTATTTTAGTGCCATTATTAAAGTTTTAATATTCACAATATTACATGGAGAATCAGAAAATAAATCATCATTTGTTAAAACAAAACTTTTCTTCTTGCTAGGGAAAAATGATAAATAAGGTGGCTATGATTTTTCCTCCTTCTTTACATTTAGCAGCTGGTTTAGAGAACCTGGTGCCATTTGGACATGAGGCTATCAGTCTGCTCACATGTCGAAGTAATATCAGGGCAAGGAATAGCCAAAACAATCTTGAGAACGAAAAACGGAGCTGGAGGAATCAGGCTCCCTGACTTCAGACTATACTACAAAGCTATAGTAATCAAGATAGTATGGTACTGGCACAGAAATATAGATCAATGGAACAGGATAGAAAGCCCAGAGATAAACCCACACACATATGGTCACCTTATTTTTATATAAAGGAGGCAAGGATATACAGTGGAGAAAAGATAGCCTCTTCAATAAGTGGTGCTGGGAAAACTGGACAGCTACATATAAAAGAATGAAATTAGAACACTCCCTAACACCGTACACAAAAATAAACTCAAAATGGATTAGAGACCTAAACGTAAGGCCAGACACTATAAAACTCTTAGAGGAAAACATAGGCAGAACACTCTATGACATAAATCACAGCAAGATCCTTTTTGACCCACCTTCTAGAGAAATGGAAATAAAAACAAAAATAAACAAATGGAGGATTCCCTGGTGGCACAGTGGTTAAGAATCTGCCTGCCAATGCAGGGGACGTGTTCGAGCCCTGGTCCGGGGAGATCCCACATGCCACGGAGCAACTAAGCCCATGCCCCACAACTACTGAGCCTGTGCTCTAGAGCCCGCGAG